ATACAGCACCCGTACCCAAGCACCTGTGATTTTTCAGTTGAGAATTTCATTAACCAAGTCTTACTCCAAGAATTCAGTAAACAGCGAATACTCCCCTTCTCGAACATATGACCAATTATCGCAAATGATTTTTCATAATAACAAAACGATAAGCGTTTAAAATTAAGCATCTTTGAGGAACCTTAATTTGTTTTCCTCAAACTAAACACTTTCTTGATTGGCCCATAAGCTGACTGACAAATGGTTATAAATGCACCCTATTCGCGAATACAACAAATGGATTAACCCATAATGAGCACCGCGTTGTTATCGACAAAACGTCAAACCTACACATAATTTGCGCGTGACGAGTTCATAGCACAACAGTTAGTAAATGTTAGCTAGACAACAGGCGTAATCATAAGTTCCAAACTACGACCCCATTGAATTTTTCAATCAAATCAGTAGAAATACTTGTAATTAGGACACCACCACTTGCACACTTCAAGCAAATAGACAAGCCTTGTTACCTAAGCTTATAACGCCACAACGGCATATCACATATAAAAAGAAGAAAATGCTTAACAAGTTCCGTAAGATGGCCAGAATTAATATAAAATGATGATGAAACGAAAACATGTTGAACAAATAGAAAGCGTCTTAGTACACTCGCCATAGTGTTCACCCAGGTGCATGCATAGAAGAGTCGAACGCAACCATGTAGGTTAATTATAATTCTGCAATGTTTGTCCCATTATATCGTCTATCGATGTAAGCAGGATATTCCTTAATGTATGCGTTTAGGCCAACGTCAAGGCAATTTTACGGAAAGTTAGTGTGGGAGGGGGAACAATGCAATTTGGGGGAGTGGGGAGGTGTTCCATGGCCAACAGTCATGAAGGGAATAAAAGTTTCGCTGACATTCTAACCGACTGTATGGTCCAGCCAACTTGAACTGTTGGCTCCTCAAATTCGTCATGTGATTGATGTGTTGTAGGTGGCGGCAGACATTGTTGAAGCTTTCTCAGCGTCTGGCAGGCCATTATTGAGTCGCCATGTAGACGCCGATACTGAACGCTGTACATTCTTAGGATCTTCAACCTAAGGTTATATGGAAGGTGAAACAACTTTTTGACGTGCTTGCTGGCGCTTCGTTGTAGAGTCTCGAGCTGCGCGAGATCTTGCCTGTGCCAAGACTGTCAGGTCTGGATGGTGTATTCCACCTGAGACCGCACGAATGTGTTAAACAACTACGGACAGGCAGATAAAGCAAAGCGCTTGAATGTCCTCCGCAGCATGTCAGCGTATTCGTTTCTAGTTTTGTCGCCTTCTTAGCTTGTACTGGACAGCCCGGATAAGCTTGGGTTAATACCACAGGGTTTCACTCCAGGGTGACATCTTGAAGGTTAACATTTCCAAGTTTGTATATGATGTTCAACTAGTGACGAATATGGACCAACTCACAATTGGACGAAGTAAACTGAAGCCGATTGTGGAATAAACATTCATACGCCCTGTCCAGTTCTCGTCGAAGTGCGACGTGGTCTCCTTGGTCAGAGAGCGCCAGCCACATCTTAAAATCGTCAGCGGAAATCACGAAATCAGAGGCAGCCAGACGCGCACGCTTGTTACTGTACAGAAGTGGCGCCAGAACACAACGTACTAGAATTCCAAATTCTATATGAAGCCCATCCGATAGGGCACTTCGAACTTTGACCCGTCATGGCCGATGCAGAATAATTTCATGCTAGATCTAACGAGATGACCCTCAAATCCTTAGCTGTACAGCACGTGAAGCAAAATGCCATTGTCCAGGCGGTCAAAGGCTTTGGATAATTCAAGGTAAATGATGTCCATCTCTGTCCGTTTGTCGGCCTCTTCCGTCCAACTGCCGAATGCACTCAGCAAGTTTGTTGGGCACGAACGTTCTCGTCGAAACGCGTGCTGCTCAGGTTCTATGAAGTTGTGGCATTCTAGCTGGTTGACTAAAGCCTCAAAGATAGCTGCCTCAATTACTTCTGAGAGTACCGAGGTGGACAACTGTGCGATAGTTTGCGAGCCGTAAGCCACTGCGTTTGGTAAACTTTGGTGTAATTACTCCATGTTGCTACATGTTAAATATAGCTATCATACGAAGCCTAGACTAGGAAATCACACGAAAAGGAATAACAAAAGTCTAAACTAGTGAACCTGTACTAGATGCACAATCTGGGAAGAAGTAAAATGTAAATTCTTGTTACCGTGGTCTTCCAATTCAAAATGTTAACGTTACTTAACTTACGAATTGGTTTTCAATCGCAAGAGAACGGGCTGGCACTGGAAGACGTTCGGCGGAGTGCGGGAACGATGGAGAGTAACAGTTTGCTAATCGCCTAACTATCAAAGGCAACTAGTTCAAGTTGGAGAGATAAAGATGTCCCGATCATGCAAACAGGAGACGTTAAGTGATCCATAATGCAGATGTTCGAAGCAAACATGTGTGCATTTCGTAAAGAAATGAGTGACGGGTTTTGGGTTGATGATATCATGCCCTCATATATGCAATCCAATTTGGCTGAAAAATCAAAGTTCCAGTTGCACTTCAAAGTAGATAAATTATTATATCCAAGCATGTTTTCTGGGCAAGCGTTGTCGGTGCTGCGTTCAGCGCTGTTGAGTGAATTTCAGGAGAGCTGTAAGTATGTATGTGTGGCCGTAAACACGACGTTAGTAAGCCCTTAATAATAGAGCTACGGTTGTTTGTATGTAACACTGGCGCAAGTCTCCTTAGAAGGTCAGGGCTTACTGCATCCGTAGAGCAGTGGCTACTTCTTCAGCGTTCTGTGCCACTCTGACTGTCGTGTTAACTATGGTATGTCATGCTTCACTGCGAATACTGTCCAAACGATTAGATAGTAGCATGTTTTCGACAAATTTACAAGCCAGTCAATAATAGCAGTGTATATTTCTCTTGCGATTGAGAAACCGTCCCCACAATGTTGCAGAGTCATTAGTCCTTACGGACAAGGGTATTAATCACCTTCACGCAACTAGCAGTTGATCTGAGATATGTAAACATACCGTGCATAAAGCAAAGTTACATTTCCTACACCTATTTATTTAGAGGACAAAATGAAAACATACCTGAACAGTACTGGTACATAATTAAGCACTTCCTGCTTAAACTGTTATATCAAAGTGTTGTTCCTGAAGACATAGACCAATATTAGCTGTCGATACAGTTATGTTGCACGTGGTGGCACGAGGTGTTCCACGACTACTACTAGCACCTTTGGGCCACTGAGCTTTGTGAGATGGTTAGGAACGCGCTGTTGGACTGTTGTGCACAAATAGTGTGTTGGAATTGTACCGAACAGCTTCCCCTTAGACTACGACATTATTCAAAGGGAATGAATGGTTTGCCTACTTTATCTACGTATTTTGCTGCTGGACTGCACCGTTCCTAATGCAAGATTTTTGAGTTCTATCCACAGTGCGCGAGAAATGAGCTGCCAAGTAGCGTTCAATTTCAAACACCCTCTAAGTGCTCACTGCTTCAGAGAGAGAAGTTGTGGCTCGTTCTGCTTTTGTGATATATCACCATTAAAGAATTTAGTTGTGAATCACACTACTACTTGCGTCCCGAGCTGCTAGATTCTGCACGGCTTGAATTACCCATTAGGAAGCTGTCAGAAAACCTAAAAGTCACTGTACGGCCGTTCTCTCATTTCATAACTCATCATCCGCCGGCATTTCCTCGACTCCACTGCAGTATTCAAGCACTAGCTGTAGCCTTGATCTCATACAATGAAAGCTAGATTCTGTGTCCAGTATTTAAACCGACAGAAATGGGAGACAATTGTGACCATTTTTATCCAAGCATTTAAAATTGGATCATCTACTTTGCATCGTATGCTATACATAGCAGGCTAGAGTGAAATACCGTAAAGCAACCAGTGGTTCAGTAAACGATCTTGCGTTGGAGACTGCCTTTGTGTTTTGCTTGATAATGCTATGAAATATATTTTGACAGCCAATACTTCTCAGTCCCCTTAAGATGTTGGATTCCATATGTCTGTCATAGTCCAAAGGTGTCAACTATCGAAAGTTGATTTTTGGTTTTTGTTTGTCCCAGCCTTCTCGCGGTGATATCTGCTAGCCATTCCGCAGTTGTTCATATGTTTGGTCAAGAGGTGAATGGAACAAATTTTAGTTGATTCTACTTATACTGCAGCCTACTCATTAAAAAGGAATTGTTTTGGGCTAAGTACGAAGAAACTGAAGTCATTATTTAATGATTATCATACCTACTCATTAAAAAATTGTTTTGAGCTAAGTACGAAGAAACTGAAGTCATTATTTAATGATTATCATATATCACTGGACTTCGCTGCGGTCCATAAACGAGCTGGTGCACCCTCTTATTTATTCAGGTTTATTGAACACGGTGCGCAGTAGTTATATGATTTTATCCCGATGGGCTGTTTTATATGCTTGCACAAACTGCGATAAGCAACTCCCAGTTTCATCCCTCTAGTTAGGACAAAATAGCAAACAGGGCTAACTGCATCTAATCGATAAAGGAACAGTGCACCTCCGGTCTATGTGTAGTTGCGACACACGTATACGAAGCTACCTGCGACCGTGAACCGAAGCACACACGTACAAAGACATGCGTCAAGCCATGCTGGCGATTAGGGGAACACTGGGGCGCACGCCTCCCGTATGAGATGGTTGAACGCACGCAAGCGTGTTTCAACCTTCGGGGAACAGGAATGGCTGGCGCATTGCGTGTATCATGGTATCTCAGGCCCAGCAGTGACCTTCACTGCAATCAAGTGACCCCAATATTTGTTGATAAACTGCGGACGAAATAATACCTCCTCAAAACTACCAACCGGTCATGCTTTCGTTTTCGTGAACCCACCTTTTGCTGCTCCAGTGCCGATACCTTTAAACATTGGAATTCGGCTGCTCACTAACTAGCCAACAAAACTGCATTAACCTGTGATTACATTGCACCCTTTGCCACTTGTGTTCAGCCGACTCAGCAAGTACCCAGGAATTCAGCACACGCAGTAAACGGCGGGAATGAATGCAAAAACGGCTTTTCTACCACCAGCTTTGATAGAAATGACGCTGATTGTGGAACGTACACGAATTCGAAAGGTGCCAAGCTTCACTCCGTGACTTCGACGTTTTACATACGGGACTCAAGCCTCAATCGCTCCGCAGGGGGAAGCCTTTCCTGCGGTCAACCAAGTCCATCATCGACGGTAGAAGAGTCGATTTCCAGTGCTCTATCTCCAACAAGTTTGAAGACTGAATCTAGGCCGCAACATCCAGGTTACTGGCTGCATCATTCAGAGATCAACCTGCCTACCGATCACGATTTCTCTGGTACTCAAGTTAACGGTGTCAGCTTAAACCAAAAAGAGCAACGTGTGGCCAGCGCTGCAAATCTTGAATTGGGACATCGAAGTCGGTGCACTGGAAGCACATCAACTTTAGACCCCAAAGACAGTCAATTGTACGGATCGTCTAACATGCTTTATGGTGGTCAGCGGACGAGGAACGATTCTGAGGAATATTTGGGCTCGTATTCCGCAGGTACGTTCAGCCAGTGTTTCGGGTTTACCATGAATCTTATTCCCCGAAGTCGCTTGTAAATTTGCTCCTTATCGTTCCATCAAATTTATTAAGCAGTTGGGTTGGTACTATCGGTAGTACAACTTTGTTTTTGTAGGCAGAGTGTAAAGATGCGTTTCTATTGGTCCTTTAACTCAGCAGACATTCCTGCTGATTTACAACGCAGCAATCAGACTGAAGTTACTTGATTAGTACAAAATTAGGGTGAAATTACTACCCTTCATGATCATGACCAGTACCAGTTTTCTCCAACGCCGGTATATACTAGCTGTGCACAGAGAAAAGACAGCAGTATAGAGAGGACAACCTTTTGGATAAGTGTCAGCTACAAGGAAAGCTAGGATGAGTTGGTGAGACAATCCCCTGCAAATGATTGCGTACGTTTGCGCTTCATGGAATTAATCGACTGCGCAGTAAAATTAATGTCCGCAGCTAAAAGCAAACATAAAAAGGGAAAAACTAGTACAGGCGCATTTCTCTTGTAGACAAGTATTGGTGCTATAAGTAGTTTTTGGAACATGTTTAAGTCTGTTTAAACCTGTACATTCCCAGACATTAAACGTGCGGTTGTGATTTCGGTTTCAAAGATCTGTACTAGTGAAAGTTGTTGTTATGCGACAAGGTGAATAAGGTAACTTATCAACTAAAAACAGATATAGTTACCTTGTTTGGAGACGGATAACTATTCTTACAATAATTTGAATACTAAGATAGTTGTAAGCAAACGTTTTTGGATGACACTGGCATAATCTCCAGCACTTAAGAATGACAGCCATTCGATACGCCTGATTTGATACAGCATCCTTTTGTAGAGAATACAATTAATCCTTTCCGTTGCATTTCAAACTGTAAGTGTAACAAGTACGGCGGACAGCTATCCCCGTTCTTCTTAGACTTGCATAGGTATTATAACGAACTTTGAATAGTATCCATCAAGCCAGGTTGCATTGAAAACTTTACAACTACCAACAAACTACATGGTTTGTCGCCGCAGATGTCACGAAACAGTCTGTGTTCTAGGCCACTTCGCGCAGGCCCAACTTTTCGTATGGTCACTTCAGCTAAACATGCTCCGTACCGATTACATGCATCTACGTTCAACTATTCAGTCACATTATACACAACTTGTACAAGTGGCTTCATTTAACCCACAAAGTTGTTCTTACACTAATACTGAAAACAAAGCAATCTATGTTGATAAACTAATGTGGTTCCATTCGCAGAACTTTAGCTCAAATTTGGCCCCAATTGTTCGCGTAATTGTAACCCATTTCAAGTCCATCATCACCTTGACATTTGCGATTATGTGAAAGGTCAATTGTTCCTCTGCAACCACCGTGTTTATGATGTGCTGCACAGAGCATAAGCTACATTCCTCTGTTCCCCATAAATAGGTAAACTGGCGAAAACACAGTTACACCACATGGCCCTTGGGGTTTCATAGTATCAGGATTTAGCTGCCTTCCTCAATTTTGCCTAATCGTTTAAATCGCTACACCTCGTATGCCTGCTCGAATACAGGACGTGAACTTTGACGCATGGTAAGACAGTACACTGGGACATAGACACTAACAGACCTGTATGATTTAGGCTGTCTTCTTGTGCCAATTACTCAAAAGTACTTATATTCATTTCAAAGTTTCGCAATTTCGCTCCAAGCATTACCGCTAGAGCTGATTGTTCTCCAAGCGCTTGGAGACATTTTGACTCGGACCGACTGTTTGCCGGGTTTCTTTCAAGGCGCGTTTATAATCCACAAGATTACATTCTTATTATGCCTCTCCACATACAGTGACGTTATAACTACCTCTCCAACTTTGCTGTATTGCATTTTGTGAAGCATCCATCAGATATAGGAAAAGGAACTAAACCACACTAAAGGCAGTGATTTGTGGGAAGTTAACTGCAACTGACGTATCCATATACAGCACTCTATGCTACTGGTAAAGATAAATGTCGGCAGAATACAGTCGTCCCGCAGCTTATCAAGACCGTATTATGTGTAATCGATACAACCTCATCATATTTTTCGGAGTACAACTTTGCTTTTGGCCGGTGGAATCCAGCTTCCTTGAGCCACAAAATCCATTGACGTTGGCTTATGGTAATGTGGATTAAATTGTTATCCTTATACACAGACGCTTTCAGTGCTGGTGGAAGGATGAAAATTTTTGTCATCTTATAAGTTTTAATAAAATTCTTCGAACCAGTTCATTCAAATGAAGAGCTTTGTAGTGACACAACTGGCGCCTGAAAGTCGAGGGTCACTATGATTGAACTAAACTTGCAAGTTCATGTAGCCATGGGAAGGTTCACTGACTGCCGACACACAGTAACTAGACTTCGCACCCCAAATGACAACGGGTTTGGAAAAAACAAAGATCTTTTTGCATTTTCTGAGGTTTGTATAAAAAAAATTTTCAAGCAACATATCCATGGCATGTAAATGAATCTTTTTCCTCTTAAAGGGTGAAAAGTGTAGTCCACCGATCGTATGTTAAACTTTCGGTCACCTACACTAACCTCAACGAAACACTACGAGTATTTAATCTACCTTCCTTTACAAAAGCTAGTCTGTGTTCAAGCCAAGGGGATATTGTGGGCAGATATTGATCGCTCGATGAAGAAGGAAAAGACAGTCTGCTGCAGATCGACTCAGGGCGCTGTAGGCATCCCACCGTAACGGCCCCGGGAAGTTTGCAACAGACACATCAAAAAAAACGTCCCTCAGCCGACCCAACAAGGGTCGGCGTAAATTCTCGGAAAACCAACGTATGTTCAAACACGCTTCTAACATCCGTAGTTCTCAATTGCCTTTATACAAACGCGCAAGGGCTTCTAAGCAAATTGGCAGAACTTCGATCTCGTCATAGCTCAATGTGTTGGGACCTCATCATGATAACTGAGACGTGGCTGAACGACATGATTAGTGACGCTGAGATCGAACTACCTGGCATGTCACTACTGCGTAACGATCGACCCACCAAGGGCGGCGGTGTAATTCTCTACTACCGTTCAGACCTTCTCATCGAGCTCATGAACAACCCTGGGATTCAAACCGTAGACTCCTTATGGTGCTGCCTACATCTAAAGCACGGCGATAAATGCTTATTGGCCATCGTATATCGTCCACCAATGTCCACTTTAGTAATGGACAAGGCCCTGTCTTCTGCTTTGAAGAATTTACTGGAACGGTCATACAGTCATGTTTTGCTGGTAGGGGACTTCAATCTGCACGGCCTAGAAACCCCAGCCACCATGAGTGAACCATTCAAAGCCGATCTACAAGAGCTAATTGCAGGATCACCGCTGTACAACCATGTCACATCCCTAACGCGATTCAGGACAGGAAATAAACCGGCCATCTTGGACCTCGTTTTCACCAATGAGGAACTGATGATTGACGTAGTAACCACATCCACTCTCTTGGGCCGCAGCGATCATGCGACACTATTGTTCCAATACTTGTGTTATGCAGATTATCCTAATGAAAGCAACGTGGAATCTTACGTCGTAACCAACTACGATAACCTGGCAGAACTCATTAGTGCTACGAGCTGGTCCTTCTTAACTGAGTGGTCCCCAGAAGTGGCATGCGCGCAATTTGTCAACAAATTCAACACGCTCGTAGCATTGGCATCTAAAACCAAAATCCCCCGACCCGACAAGGCGAAGTCGTTTCTCAGAAGCAGGACCCGGAAATGCATGGGATTGAGGGATCTGGCATGGCGCGCCCATATAGCCTCTCCGAGCGAGGATACTTAGGACACCTATATTACACAAAGAAACCACTGTGTCACACTCGTCAGGGAGGATAAGGTAAAGAGCCAACAAGATCTTGTGTCAAAGTTCTGCGTTAACCCAAAGCTACTATACAGACACATAAATAAGCTTCGCCGCGTTAAGCGCGGAATTCCGGCTCTGCGCACAGCTTTCGGATTAGCACATACGGCACAGGATGCGGCGAACGTCCTAGGACAACACTTCGGCCGCACTTTCCAGTATGTGCAAACATCCTGCACCATATCTAGGCAACTTATTCCGCCATCAGGCCTTAACCACATTTCCTTCACAACTGCAGCTGTATTGAAGCGGTTGATGTCGTTGCGCGAATTTAGCTCCCCGGGTGCGGACGGCATTCGGCTGAAAGCGCTGAAAGTTTCCGCCACGAGCTTAGCTGAACCTTTGGCGACACTCTTTCAGCGATGCCTTAACGAGATGCACGTCCCAACGATGTGGAAGCACGGGATCATCACTCCAATCCACAAAAATGGTAGCCGTGCAGATCCAACTAATTATCGTCCGATTACCCTTCTTCCGGTAATCTCCAAGATCATGGAGTCCATTGTAGCCGAGGCCCTCATGGAGTACCTGGAGAAAAACAACATCCTCGTTCCGGAGCAGCACGGATTTCGTCAAGGCAGGTCCTGCACAACTAATTTGCTGATTGCTCGTTCAAACTGGACAGAGTCTGTGGACGCCGAAGTTGGAGTGGATGTAGCCTACTTGGACTTCTCTAAGGCATTCGACCGACTGGACCATCGGATTTTACTGAACAAGCTGCAGCATTGTGGTATCGGCAATCTTATTCTAGGATGGATAGGCGAATTTCTCGTTCAACGTCACCTGAATGTGAGAGTCCGAAATACCTTGTCGGAACCAATCGAAGTTCAGTGTGACGTACCTCAGGTCTCGGTACTCGGGCCTCGCTTGTTCATTGTTTTCATAAATGATCTTGCAGCTGCACTATCTTCCAACTTTCTGCTGTTTGCAGATGACCTAAATATATGGCCTGCCATAGCTTCAGGAGAGGATCACACAGCCTTGCAGGATGATTTGGACAAAGCATACAAGTGCTCAAACGAGAACATGCTACAGTTCAACACCACAAAGTGCAAAATCTTGAGCATACGCCATCAGAGCGCGTATAACTACCGCTTAGGACCTGACATTCTACAGCG